TTTAATACATTGATGTGATTGGATTCCACTTTCCCTAGTTTTAGTTATTTGCTCTTAGTAGTATTTGGTTTAATCTCTCTATATCTCACAACCTTTCCTAGTAGTCTAGTTGGCACAAATTAATACACTTAGTCCTTTTGGGTTCGACCCTTTACTTGCCACTAACTAGTTTAGTGTAGGTTTAGGTATTATAAATTTCTAATTTGGTTAGGGTTAGTAGTCCCAACGACCTACTTCCACCCTCGATCATCATGCTAGCATTAGAAGAATTAACACATTGCACAACAAAAATTGAAGCACGATTACCCCTATTATAGACTTCCCAAGAAAACCAAACATAAAACAACCAAGCATCTTCGATAGAAAATGCTCTAAATCTACTATTATGCATTCCTTCAACTATATCCCTATTTTGCTCATTCAAACCAAAATAACAAATCTTACAAGCCTCCCAAAGACTACAACGATTATAGTCAAGAAATCCCTTAAGTCTATTGAAATATTCACAAAAAGGCTCATCATCATATTGAGGAAATGAGAGACATGTCATTTTTTTACAAAGAAAATACAAATCAAATAAAAGAAAAGTATATACAAAGACCTAGACTCAAACAATCAAAAACACTCAAACATAGACATCGTTCCCCGGCATTGGCGTCATTTTGACGAGGGGAAAACTAGGTCGTTATGTAATCTTCCCTTGGTAAAACTAAATTTATAAACACTTAACAAACCTAAATACGAGTATAGAGGCAAGTCAAGGGTTGAACCCAAATGAACGGTAATGTTCAAGCACTTTCAATTATGCGCCTAAGCTAGATCGAAGACGAAGGTAAGAGAGAATACTAACAACTAACAAAACAAGTAACCAAGGAAATAAAAAAGTAGGAACGGGGATCAACAAGTAATCATGTCTATTACAACAACTTGGGAAGAGCATGCCAATCAAAGGTTATGAAGACTAATGATAAGAGCAATCAATTGGAATCAAAGAGCTATATCCTAATTATTAAGCTAGGGTTCACTACGAATAACAAACCAAGAGAATCACAATCAAAACCAATTGATAATTGCAATTCCTAAATCAATTGTTCATGTCAATAGCAGTTACAATTCAATTTAGCATAATTCTCAAGGCCTAATCGAATTACACACATGCAAACCTTCATTAATCACTTTAATCTCAACAATCAATCAACACAATTCCCAAATTAATCACAATCAATCAATCATACAAGTTTCACCCAATTCCTAGCCAACAACTACTCAAATATCATCATCTATCAACTAACAACTATGGAAATCAAGAATCAACAATATATCAAGAAAAATTACACTAATCAAGCATCAAACATCAAAATTAAACCAAAATAAAATGAAATTAAACGAAGCAATAAGGTGAGATAGAGTTAAGAATGCTCATCGATAATATAGATGATCTTCAACACAATTGTCACCCTTGTATCTTCAATCTCTCAATCACCATTGAAATCTATCACTTTCTCTCTCTAAAATCTACTCCTAATCTAGAGAGAGAACCTCCTAATCTAACCTAATTCTAGAGAGTGAGTATCTTAATCTAAGATAATCCTCCTTAGAGGAGAGAGAAAGTATCCTAAACTAAAGTATTTCATGTATGAAGAATAAAGAAGGCCATACACTATTTATAAAAAAAGAGGAAATAAAAGAAATCGTGAGTAAAGCCCAGAAAGTCGTGCCCGCAGAGAAAACGACCGCGCCCGCGGGGTTCCTGCGGCCAGCCCTCTCCAAGTTCCTGGTTAAAAATGGGCAGATATAGGTTGCAGAAACCCCGAGCCCGCAGGTACTGTAGCCCGCGCCCGCGGCAGATTTGTAGGGCCAACTTTGGATGGCTGTAACTCACAATCTAGGAATTATATGATGGCGTGCCACCTATCATTGGAAATCTCTTCAACTCTAGTTTCCAACAATCCGATCTGTAAAACTCGAGATATGGCTGAAACAATGCACAAAGGTCCTTTTTGATACTTTGCAAGCCCTCATTTTTCCTTTGTTTCTTGGATTAGCTTCACTTGCGTGCTTGGCTTCCCTAACTTGGCTCCGTTAAATTCCTTGAATGCACTTGAGCTCCCTCCTTGATTATTAAATTTGCGGGAACTCGAAGTACCTACAAAACAAGACAAAGAAACGGAAAAGCGAGAGAAATAGCCGAGAAATGAATAAAATAATAAGAAAACCATTAAAAGCACGCATTTCTCTAAACTAACACAAAAACACGCAAATCGAGCATTATTCTCTAAAAATACAACATAAACAACTAAAAACGAGCATAGAAATATAAAGAAAACATAGCCTAAAGGTGCCATAAATGGCACTGATCAAGGGTTCAAAATCTTTTTAGATTGCTACTTTCTAGATGAAATCCCAACTCCTATTCACAAGGAGAAAGCACCCCCATGCTTTGACTTTGATGTCATGGGACTACTCTTTGGCCATGAAAAAGATTAGCCAAAATATGTAGAGGATAATTCCTCGCTCATCCAAACGGTCCTACAAAGCGAGAACTTTGACCCTTCGAAGCTCATCATTCCAGCGGAGGGTTTAGTGCAAGGATGGGGCAAGACGGTCAAGGTGACTACTCCGAGTGGAAGAAAATTCTCCATAACAACAGGGCAAGGACCAATGTTTGAAGAGTCGTCAGAGTCAGAGTCAGAGTCTTTTCCTGTAGAGTCTACCAAGTCTTTTGCTATAGCATCCTCTGTTTCTAATTGTTTTATTTCTACTCCTAGGATAGTTAGCAATCAAGTCCCTGAGGACATTTCTCTTTTCGATGTAACGATTTCAGAATTCAATAATATGTCTTATTCCTCTTACTCCTCATGCTTTTCATTAACCCAAGATGACGAGCATTTCTTAACTAACAATGAAAATGACAAAGAAATTATTAAAGCAATGGAAACACTTGAAAAGAAAACATCGATAATTGAGGATACTGAAACGGTTGATATCTCAAATGATTCAATCATTAAAAGAGAAGTAAAAATCGGATTAAATTAATCTACTCAAAGAGTTTATTGATGTATTCGCTTGGTTATATGAAGATATGCCAGGCATTAATAGAGAAATAACTCAACAGACTATACAACTAATTCTAGGAATGAAACCTGTAAAACAAAAATTGTGTCGAATGAAACCAGATGTAGCTCTTAAAATAAAAGAAGAAGTTCAGAAACAAATAACTGCAGGTTTTATCAGGGTATCCAAATACCTTGAATGGGTAGCCAATGTGGTTCCAGTTCCGAAGAAGGATGGAAGGGTAAGAATGTGTGTCGACTATCGAGACTTAAATAAGGCAAGTCCAAAGGACGACTTCCCTTTACCACACATCGATATTTTAGTAGATAATACAGCAAATCAGGCACTTCTCTCGTTTATAGATGGATACGCAGGGTACAACCAGATTCTCATGGAAGAAGAACAAATGGTGATAACAACGTTCATAAGACCTTAGGGTACTTACTGTTACACGGTAATGCCATTCGGGTTGAAAAACGCGGGTGCTACTTACCAACGAGCAGCAACTGCCCTATTCCATGATATGATGCACAAAGAGGTTGAAGTCTATGTACGTGACATGATTGTGAAATCAAAAGATCGCCCATGACATCAAGTAGCCTTAAGAAAATTCTTCGAATGGCTATGAAAATACAACATGAGGTTGAATCCATCTAAGTGTGGTTTTTGACTCACCTCAGGAAAGCTCTTGGGATATGTCTTAAGCTCTAGAGGAATAGAGATAGACCCAACCAAGATCAAAGCGATCATGTCAATGCCACCGCCAAAAACCGAGAACAAATTCGAAGATTTATTGGCCGGTTGCAAATTATATGTAGGTTCATATCAAAATTAACAACGATATGCAAACCAATATTCAAGAAGATCAAAAAGAATGTGCTATTTTTATGGGATGATGAGTGTCAAAAAGCCTTTGAAAAGATCAAAGCCTATCTCGCAAATCCTCCCGTATTAGCACCTGCACTTCCAGGGATTCCTCTTAGGATGTACTTAACAGTCACCAAGGAGATAATGGGGGCTATGCTTGCACAAGAAGTAGAAGGTAAAGAAAATGCAATATACTATCTAAGAAAAAAGATGCTCGAGTATGAAGTGCGCTACACACCGCTTGAAAAATTGTGTCTCGCATTGGTGTGGGCCACAAACAAGCTAAGACACTACATGCTCGTGCACACAGTCTTTGTAGTTTCTCGAATGGATCCACTTAAGTATCTATTAAAAAGTCTACACTCAATGGGCGCATATCAAGATGGATAGTCAATTTATCCAGGTTTGATGTACGATTCATGCCTCAAAAGGCTATCAAAGGATCTGTGGTCTCGGACTTTCTAGCAGATTTCCCAATAGAAGATTCGACGCCAATACATGACAACGAATTTCCAAACGAAGACTTGATGGTCACAAAGATGATACTTCGACCTTATACTTTGATGGAGCCTCAAACCAAAAGGGATGCGGAGCTGGAGTACTACTGGTATCACCTAAAGAAGAGCACGTTTCAATCTCTATAAAGCTAGATTTCGACATTCACTACTACAAAATTAGCCTAAGAGACCGGGCAAAACTAGTCTAAGAAACCGTAATAGTTGTGGTGCCTAGGTAGTAGGTCTCTTAGCCAAAGAAATCGCAAGTTTTGTTCGGTTTCTTAGAAAAGTCAAAGATACCAGTTATTACTAATATCAGGTTTCTTAGCTATACTAAAAAAAACTCTTGATTACCAAAGCAAAGAAACCAAAATTAGTCAGATCTCCGGTTCTTTTATACACACTAAGAAACCAGTATGCTGGAATAACCGGTTTCTTTGCTTATTATTTATTTTTAAAAAAATTAAATAGAATAATAGTTACATTTTTTTTTCAGCCTACTAGAATGGCAGTTATTTCCATATTATTTGATGAACCATTATCTTTTCATAATGGCTACGTGTAGATCATAAACATTTTAGCTTTAAAATTAACCACTGTCCAATCCATTGATAAAAACAATAATCTATATCATTTACATTTGTACTTGTATATTAATATTACAAAATCAATAATGATGTTACATGACATATGAATCTACTAATAAATTAAAAAAAATATATACAAATACAATATGAATCTGAACCATTTTCTTAGCTAAAGTCACACATTGTAATTTATATGAGCTCTCAACTTAGCCCATTTCCGCTTCCTGCAAATCTGTTCACAAGGAATGACAACATCAAATATTTAGAACACAACAACAATAAAAATATGAAAAATTAAGTAATAAACATGAAAAATCTCAAACAAACAAAAAAGTTATTCAATCAATGGAAAAACATTATTAAAGCTCAAATCAAATCATATAAATGGAACCATAAAATGCCCCCTTCCCCCACAAATCTCAAACCGTAAAACAAAAAACAATTAAAACTAATAGATTAGAAGAAAAATAAAACCTGGGATCTTTAAGTTTAGCGGCAGATCAATTCATTTCAAACCCAAGAACTACGGTGTTGTATCGCGGACATTGACGGAATCATTATCCTTACAAACGACTACGAGCGTAATCGACTTGAAAGAAATGGAAGGTGAGACCATTGTAATAGTTAGTCACCATTGTTATATGAATTATCTCTTTTTCAACTAAAAAGAGAAAATTCAGTTTTTATTTTTAAAGAGAAGTGGTGAATTTTGAAGATAGGGTGAATATGAGGAAAACGGCTGGGGAGAGGAAAAAGCAGGGTTTCTACTTTCTAGGTTATAAAAAAAGTAGGGTTTCATCAATTAAATATTAAAAATCTTTCAAAAATATATAAAACTAAAAAAAAATAATATGATAAGAGACCATAATTTAAAGAACAACAGTGCCTTTGACCCTAGTTAAAGTACATTAATTTTAGGTGTACCTGAGGCATCGGATTTCTCATACTACTGGTTTCTTATTAAAAATCTAAGAAACCAGATTTCTAAGATAACAGATTTCTTAATCTAAGAAACCGGACAAGTGACTTAACCGGTGCCATATTAGTGGTTCCATAGCCCAATTTTGTAGTAGTGATTACCAACAACGCTGCCGAATATGAGGCATGCGTGGTAGGCCTTCAAACAACTTTCGCATTGGGCGTACATAAATTACAAATATTCGGAGACTCTTCTTTGACCATCAACAAATTTCCAAAAGATGGAAAGTAAGGAGTGAAAGTCTAGTCCCTTACCAAACTTATCTAGAAACTCTCACCAACTAGCTGGAAAAGGTAGAATACACCTATCAACCTAGAGAGGAAAACCAATTTGCTGATGCCTTGGCAAGACTAGCTTCAATGGTTAGGATTCCTTACGGAAATGGAGCAAATGCCTCTAACTATAGAGAAAGGGCATAAACTGGCTTACATTCAAGCTATAGAAGATGATGAAGTGATCCAAGATGATGAAGAAGAAGAAGAACCGTGGTATATGGATATGCCTAATTACGTAACCAAAGGAGAATATCCTCCTCATGCTACAAATGAGAAAAAACGAGCATTAAGACTCTTGGCTTCCCAATACGTACTCATAGACGAGTTACATAAAAGGGTATCTAAGGGTCGTGCTCTCTTATGTGTAGGAAAAAGGATGTCCAAAGTGTTATGAGGATAGTCCACGAAGGCATTTGTGGAACCCATGTTAATGGCAAAATGCTAGTCCAAAAGATAATGCGAGAAGGGTACTATTGGACTACCATGAATAGGGATGTGATCAATATGTAAAAAGATGCCCTAAGTGCCAAATTTATGCCTACTTACAACATGTTCCTCCGTCTCTACTTTACACCTACACTTCACCATAGTCATTCTCTACATGGGGAATTGATATTATCGGTAAAATTATCCCTCCTGGGACAGAAGGTCACGAATACATCTTAGTAGCAATTGATTACTTCACAAAGTGGGTTGAAGCACAATCATATGCTAAACTCACTAAAAACATGTAGCACTCTTTATCGAAAGGAATATTATTTGTCGATACGGAGTCCCACATGAGATGATAAGTGACAATGGAACTCACTTTCAAGCTGAATGTGAAGAATTGTTACATAAATATGGTTTCAACATCATCATTCCTCCCCCTATAGACCTCAAGAAAATAGAGCAGTTGAGGCAGCTAATAATAACCTAAAGACTATTATCCAGAAAATGACAAAAAAATACAAGGATTGGCCTAACAAATTCCATTTCGCACTTTAGGGTTATCGCACAGGAAATACGCCATTCTCCTTAGTTTATGAAATGGATGTCGTACAACCCCTAGAGCTAGAAATACCATCTCTATGCATTGCATTAGAAAGTAAACTCGATGAAGTCGAATGGACTAGAGCAAAGTATGAAGAGCTAATTCTACTTGATGAAAAGAGACTAGAAGCTCTACATCATACCCAATGCTATCAAACACGTATGGCTAGGCACTTTAATAAGAAGGTCAAGACAATAAACATGAAAGTAGGAGACTTAATGTTAAAAGCATTAAGGAAAAATGTTTCGGATCCAAGAGCCAAATTTAGGCCTATTAGGTCCGGACCATATATCGTCGAAACCATCCTATCAGGGGGTGCAGCAAAACTAACTGATATGGATGGAAAAATGTAGGGAATATTTCAAGCATTACCCCTAGCTTGAACCCCACTGTGATCATACACTAAAGTACGGTGGCGTCTAAAGGGAAAGAAGATAGAGAAAAAGAGTCGCCAACAAGTTTTAGGAACTTGTAAACCGTTCACGAGGTGAAGGTTACACCCCTTAACGATCCAAGAGATCGTTAACTCAAATAGGTATGGAACCATGACTGGTAGTTCGGGGATGAAGGTACAAATCCAACCTAAAAGAGATTGAACCTGCCCTAATAATAGGCCTCTACTCTATTCTGATCGTATTCATGTGCGCTTTCTGACTAACATGCAATCAATAGATTTACCCTAAACCTTTTTATCTATGTTAGTTGAATATTAATGCACAAATAAACTATTATTGGCGATCAATTGAATTATAATCAAATTAACCCTAAACAAGATTATTAATTATCTTTTTAAGCGTGATTACAAGTACAAATTTCCTTTAAACATGCATAAAAGGAGTGATCAAGAAATAACAATAAATATCAATATCAAGCAACATTATAATAATCATAATAACAATCATCATAATAATAATAATCATAATCATGTTCATGTTAAAAATAAAGCATAATAATAGCAAGATCCTAGGCATGATACTGACAAGGTTAATAACAAACCCTAGCATGTCACTAAACATCAAATATCAAATATATAGCCCTAACATGATACTAACATGAATATTAGAAATAATATAAGAAGCATCATAACAATCGTACTTGATTTAAGGAACTTATTCTTTACCCTAGGCATGATAATAGGAAGATCAAAACGCCTTACCATGATACTAGGAATCAAAATAAAAATCTAAGCATGATTTCTATATCATAATATTAATTAAAACCATTCAAGCACTTACTTGAATGCCTCGTATCTCTTTCTAATAACAAAATACACGCGTTAGTAACTTCAAGGAAAATATAAAATCAACAATTAAATTAGATAATTGAACTAAAGATTTGGGACCAAACCCTCAGAAATTAAAACCTTTCACGTCTAGGGCGAAGACAACTTCGAAATATGCTAGGTATGTCTAGCGCTAATGTATGAGGAATTGTGTTTGTAAAAAGCAAGGCTAGAAAGAGGGAGAGAATCAAGAAATTCTTGATGAGAGTTGGTGAGAATTAGAAAGAATAAGAATTGATAAATCAAAACGGAGTTTTTAGAGGTTATTTATAGAGAAAATCAACCAAAAAGATAGAAAATCGAAATAGATTTCTGACGCGCAAAACGAAGCTGGCTCCAGACGCTAACATTAGCGCCAGGCGCCAAGCTTAGCATCAGGCGCTAATGATGGCATTTGGCGCTAACTTAATTATTGACGCGTTTTCTTAAAATCAGATAGAAATTGACCGTACATGAGGATAAAATCGTATTTTCCTCCAAAAACATTCTTTTATTTTGATTAAAACTCTAAAAAGTCAACAAAAGTCAATTTATCAATGCTAATTGACTTAGGAATGAAAAGAACCTTCTAGAAGACTAAAACCATTCCTAATTTCATTAGGAATGATAAATCCATATTAGGCCCTCCCCTAGATCATTGGGCCGCATATAAGGCTCAAACCAGGCCCAGTTCAGTAATTTGGCCATAACTTCCTCAATATTCATCGAAATTGGGCTTATAATATATCGTTGGAAAACTCTTTTCAATCCCTATCCAACTACACTACTATTGGACCCATATCATGGAAAAACCAAACTGGATTGACTGTTTTTTTAAAATAGGTTTTCAAAAACAGAGAGAAAAGAAAAGAAAAACAATTAAAACTATCCGCAACACTAAACTTTCCACACTTTCACTTCATTCGATTATCATTTGACGTGAAAGGTACTCATCAGTGGGTTTGGTTTTGGGGAGACACATTTGGGTGTCTACAGAAGCCCCCACTTTGACTGAGTTTGGAGAAACGCAAGTTTCGAAAACAAAAGTCAAAGTATCGATAGGGACGGAGAATGATTTAGAACGTTCTGCGATCCTAAATAATTCTTGTAACGCCAATACCTGTAAACTAGCGTTAGTTAAAACAGATAAAAGAATTAAGAAACGCGTATCTTGCACCGTCGAGCACACGTCTCTGGAGGTAACTGATTTGTTGCATTTTGCTGTTGTTGTGAAAACCTTCCACAATCTATGGAACGCCATCTTGTTGTTTTAATGCTCACTCGTCTCTGAACAATGGAGCTTTTTGGATATGTTCACGTGTTTCTGAACAGATAGCTTCTTTTTAATATGAACTCTTGAAAGATATGTCCACACGTCTCTGAACAAGGAGCTTGATAATAGGATGCCCACGCGTCTCTGAGCAAAAGATATTTGAAAGAAATGTCCACTCGTCTCTGAACAAAAGAGCTTGATAACAGGATGCCCACACGTCTTTGAGCAAAAGAGCTTGAAAGAAATGTCCACGCGTCTCTGAACAAAGAGCTTGAAAGAAATTTCCACGCGTCTCTGAACAAAAGAGCTTGATGATATGTCCACGCGTCTCTAAACAAAAGAGCTTTGATGATATGAATGTTTGTTGTGATAATATTCCGAAGAATACTTCTGAAGACCAACGCTTATCGATCTTTAAAGCTCGCTTGAACTTTGCTTTCGCTATGCCAGTACGTCGGTGCTTTTGATGCTTGTGAACCATTACGTTAGTGTCTCTGCTGTATATGAACCATTACGTCGGTGCCTTTGCTGAGCCAATGCTTAGGCGCTTTAAGCTCAGTGAGACGATCATTCATTAGGTCGATCACTTATTGCGATTGTAATCAAGATGACTACTTAATCATGCTAAATTGCTTATAGGGGCTAACTGGCGTACCAAGGAACCCGAAGTTGCTGAAACAGGTTAAAATAACTGCTCTGAGTGGCTGAGCGTTCAGTCGCCGCTACAATGCCTCTGGCGCCGCGATTTGGCTCTATCGCAAGACGTTGGGATCTAGCGTTAGGCGCTGAAATCTGTTGCCAGACGCTAGATGTTGTCGTCTGGCGCTGGAGTCGGGTCTTCCTTATTGTGCTCTTGCTGCCGCTAGGATGTACCTGTATTTATATTTGACTATAGGACTTTGCTAATCTCTCTTTAGGGTTGACCTAAGACTTAGTGTTGCTTGACTCATTGACTTGTCGTGACTCAAGGTATAGACTTGACTCGCTCTAATTGACTCGAGGTTGACTCGACTCAAAGTGTTTGACACATGTGTTAGACTCAAATCAAAGTGATATGGC